GAATGAATCAAAACAGAGCGAATCACTTGGGAATGTCCCCTCGTGAGACTTGTGAAGAACGGTTCGCCAGAAAAATTTGTGTTATACTCAAAGTTCCCGGATACTACCTTTCTATCAGATGTTGTCATTCAAATGGCTGCGTTTTCATTCTGGTCTCATTGAGGTATTACATGCGATCGAGTTGAAGAGTTCTTTTCAAGTATTGAACATCAGCGAGTTCAGAATGGAGGCAGCAGCTACATTCTCCTTTGAAATTTATATAGGCTATACCCTAAGTATCTTTGTATGTCTATGAAATTTACAGAGATCAACAGTGTGTATTTCTCACTATTTTGAAGTTTATGATGCTTGTATTCTAATAATGAATGATTCGAGAGAACGACAGTAACTGAAAATATATGCTCTAGCTAGTGCTATTACTTATATCAAATATTTCTTCACTTGTTGAATGACTTTTATTTCTGTCAGACAGTTGATGAGCATTTGTATATAGTGGTACTTATTTTCATACTGCTCGTCAAACTCATCTATGGCAATAATTTCGACTTGCGAAATGAAATGTTTGTCAATTGTTCTATGACTGATGGAGAGGTACTCAACAAATCGTGAAGCATAATTATTTTGATGAGAAGTTACTTTTGAATTCAATACGAATATTAAAATGTTTTCGACAATGAATGTTTATATTTGCGTGTTGATGACAAGTAGTCGTGTGGCAGTTATTTGTAGTAGACTTTGTATTTTTTTTTCTTAGAATCATAACTAGTAAAGATTCCACTTCCTGAGATTTAAAACCTTTTTTTATGCGTTAATTCTTCATGATAATCTGAATTATATAAAATATAAATGTCTAACAGCACTGGTTTAATTGAAATAAATTTTTTTCGTGTGTGAATAAATCAAAAAAAGAAGAAATCGAAGAATGCTATCTCTCTTGCAAGTGAATTTTCAAAGTAAAACTAAATCTAATTTGATATGAAAAATTTGAGTAAAAACTTTTTAGTACACGGACTCTGAAAAGATCAAATTTTGGAGGTACAATGGGTAATTTTTGACTGAAATAAATTTTCAATCACTTTTCTGAGTAAATATGACAAAATTGAACAGATAAAAGAATTTTAAAAAGTAGAAACAAAATTAGCAAAAATATGACTTTTTGTGTGTTTTTGAAAATAATCAAAAAAAGAGCGCATAGAAATTGAGTAAAACTCGCTAGTTATATTCAAAAAACATGAAAAATCGATCTATTTGTCTGCTTAAGGTTCATATTAATCGGCGAGAAAACAATTTCAGAATATATTTAAGTAATAAAAGTTTATTTCATAACTGGAGTTGATTTGAGCTCTGAGGCTAACACAGATCGGTCAGAGGCATCAATTGTATTAGAATGAATTGACAACAACTCAATTCTATCACTTTATAACAGACTTCAAAAATCTTCACTTGTTTCAATATAATATACCATGATAAAATACTTTCAAAAAGATCGATAGTAAACTGTCGGTAGTTTTTCAGTAGTTATCAGATGAAGTGGCATGAAAAACACATAAACGACGACACATCCTTAGCATCTCAATTAGAACACACTCGGTAAATCAACATTGAACCCACCAGTTGTATTCAACTAAAAAATGTTCTTCGTTTCCAGTTCTGATTGATATTTATTAGAGTGTGATAAAAGATTCGAGAACGTAGTATACAGTGCAATAATCTATTCAACTGTGTATAGTTCCAATAAACTTTAGTGAGAATATTTGCTCGTGTTGGCACTTTTTGGGTAAATCTCGTTATCCCTCAATCAGTCAATGTTTTTTTTCTTATCGTTTTAAAACCAATGTATTGTTATGATCGAAATTGAATAGTAGTTTTTTGTTTTTTTTTCTTGAAATTTCATAATTTATCTCTATGGGACTTTATCTAAATAATATTGATACCTTTTTCCATTATAATTAGTTTAATTTTTAGAATTTATATAAAAATATGAGATATACCGACGATCCAGAAATTCGTAATTCAAGAAAAATTAAGAAATTCAAGCTGCTATCACAATTGCATCACTTAGAGTTAAACCGTACCGCGGATCCACGGAAATGAAGGAATTCAAGCAATTCTATTGAATCCCTTGATTTTCTTGAATTGCTTGAATTTCACTGTACTGCTTCAGAAAAGGTTACCTTCATCTTCACTATCGAGATTGCCTTGGAAATGAAGGAAATCAAGAAATTCAATAGAATTTCTTGAATTCTTTGATTTCCATGGATGCCGCGGTATGGTGTAATCCTAAGTGATGGAATTGTTATAGCAGCTTGAATTTCTTAATTCTCCTTGAATTGCCAATTTCTGTATCATAGGTACTGCTGATCCACTTTTATGCAGATTTGATCCTAAAAATGAATATCAGAATGAATTTTCAAATTCCTGATTTTGAAACAGATGCCGCTGGAACACCTGCAAAATTGATAGTAACTATTTTCGAGCGATGTTAATCAACAAGTGTAAGTCCATGTTTTATCATTCTACAATTTTATTTTCAAAATAATGGAAGTGGTTCCTGTTAATAATTAACTTTTTTTTCAACAAAAGGTCATATGAGTTGAAACTTGGTACAGTTTTGTTAGAAAGTGTGAATGGTCTCATTGAAAACTTGTCTAAACTAGTTACATCGTACTATTTTGCTAGTTTTGTGCTTAAATCACAATTATTTTTGTGTATAAAAAGCTTTTATTATGACAGAAAAAGGATATATTGGATATCTTTTATCCTTTGTGTTCATTGGTTTTTTTGATCGTATATTAAAAATCGCTTCGTACTTTCTGACTTAACATTTTTTTAAATATTTTATTATTTATCTCGTATTACTTTATCAATATTATGCAATAATATTTATTTATCACTTAATTCTGGTTTGCATACCCAATATGAAATTGTGCTCAGTTTACTTAATTTTTTTTGTCATTTAGATGTACCAAGAATTAAGATCTTTGTCTCTAACGTATTTATGAAATGAAATCAATTGTGTCATCTATTCTATTTTCTCAAAACACTCAAAAACTCTCTATAAAATGTTGTATTGAATTGTTTTAAGCAAGTTTCAGACATGTGCTGATAAACAAAATTCAACGGACAAAATTCAGAAAGAGAGGACAGAAAACTATGCGTCAGTCATTACGATGCTGTTGCGTTCGATTGCAACTGCAATGCCATTGGATTTTTCTCTTGCTGAATTCAGTTTTTTTTTCTTCCGAATGAAAATTGACAACTTGTTCGACTCACAGAACGAAAAAAAAAATACCCAATTATATGTTAACTTTAAGTTACTTCTTTATCAAAATTGTTACATCTTAGTTTATTGTTGTATTAGATCGAGGTGATGGCACGCAAAAATGAAAATTTGATCACACGCATCCAACAAATCGGAGAAGGTGGTTTTGGAACTGTTTATATAGGTAGTTATCGTGAATATAAGGAAGTAGGAATCAAAGATGTCAATAGTAAACTATCAGCTGACGCTTTAGCTGAAGCAAATATACTCAAAACTCTTACACATCCAAATATCATTCAGTATATTGACATCGTTCAAACACCAAATCAAACATCAATTATCATGGAATTTATCGATGGTGGTTCTCTGTATAATTACATTAAAAGAACGACTCAATCATTGACATATTGGAAAGTTACTCGACAAATGATGATTGATGTTGCACATGGTATGGCTTATTTACATAGTCAACATATTGTACATGCTGACTTGAAAAGTCTTAATGTTTTGTTGCGACATAATTATTCAGCAGTCATATGTGATTTTGGTCTTGCAAGAACAATTGCTGATTCAAGAGCAGTAACTACATGTTACGTTAGAGGTACGTCATGAGTAGATTATTGAACATAATTTTATACTCTATTGTTTCTATTATCCGAATATTGCTAGTTCAAAAATATCTAATTAAATAATCTTTCATAATTAGTATAGTTTATCAGTTAAAAAAGTAAATGTAATTGTTTCTTGAATAATCAAAGCTATATTTAATGCATATTTAATAGTATGATTGTATGCCCATTGAAATTTTAGTTTTTTTTTAATTTGATTTATAATAAATGTTTCAGATGATTTCGACTAAAGAAAACATACATTTCATCTTTTTCAAAATATTAGGATAAAGATAGTTTACCGTGCTTATTTTTATCAATCTATTTTCGTTATTGATATTTATATTTAACTGAACCTAATCTTTCATAACTGTCATAAAAATGTTAGTTTTCACTTTCTATTTTTGTCAATAAATTCTTTGTCCTATGGACTTTTGGAAACTTTCCGTATTTATTAAGGCGGCTGATTGGCCGATTGAGTGCACATGTGAGATTTGTTTGTTTTCTAAATTCGACGCCATTCAGGAGATATAATTTGTGCAAAACGATAATTATCACTTGATAGGTTCAATATATAGCGATACATAATTCAATCGTAAAGCTACTACTGATATGTTCAATGTTATATGCATATATATTTTGATTATCGTCTTGTACGACTTACAACAGTGACTAGGAATATTATTCAACAACGTTTATTTTCAATTTTTTTTCTGCTGTCGTCAGTGCTAGGTAAGACTCTAAGTAGTGATTCGAATACAGAAATCTTTTCATTAAAAAGAGAATAAGGAAGTAAAAGTTATTATCAGATTTTTAAAGATAGCTTCCGAAATCTAAAACCCTAGTTATTCAATACCTAGAACGCATAATGTATAATCTTATTCAGACGTTAGAGTAAAGCATCCTCTACAAAATGAAATATCTCTGAGTTCTCTGAGATGTTTTTCGGCTGTGATACAGTAATTTAATTAATAGTCAAAAAGTAACTCTTCTATAGAAAATAGTAAAAAGCACGATTTTAGGGGTTTTCGTAAAATTCTTAGATCTCAGGTACAAAACATTGCAGACAACTCGAAGACTTCTCATTTTGTAGACAATTTTTTTTCTCTATCATTCTCTGTAGCCTAAACAAAACTATATTTACGTATTCTAGACACTGAAACACGGAGGTTTTAGTTTTCTGAAGCTTTTACCTTTGAAAATCTGATACTATTTTTTTATTATCTTAGATTTTTATTGAACACAATTTTTTCTACTCGAATCATAAAATCGAATATAAGAAATAATTTTTAATTTATATTGAGCGTTACTATCGTGAAAAGAACATGTCAAAAAAGCATTCATATTATGATGTGCTTTCACAAGAAAAAATAATAGACTAACATATTTTAGGACTAGGGCAGTCAAGTGCCTTGTTTCATCAACTTTTATTTGAATGATAGTCTATTTTTTCTGTTGTTTTTCTAGGAACAGTGATATGGTTTGCGCCAGAACTTTGTTTTGATCGACCAGAGAGAAGTTCTTTTCAATCTGATGTATGGGCATATGGATGTATCTTGCTTGAAATCATATCACAGAAGATTCCATGGGAAGATGATTATAGCAATGATAACGTTCTTATAAATGCATTAGCTAAACCAGAGAATGCAATTATTTTTGAAAACATTTGTCTTAGACAGAGAGCTCCGGAAAAACTACGCGCAATTCTTTGTCGCTGCTGCTCTTGGCAAAAAGACGATCGGCCTAAATTTCCCACTATAGTTCAGGAGCTCACTGCTATCTCTGATGTGGATATTCACAATATTAATCAAGGAAAAGAAAAACCAGTGTCATCGAATTCGTCAAAAACAAGACCCTCGACTAGTAATAAACAATCTCCAACCAAAGCATCATCATCAACATCAAAAGTCAATGATGCAAAGTCCGATGAATATATAACGACAATGGCTGAATTGAAACTTGAAAACCCAAATCGAAAACGCAAGTCTTCGTCAGTACGTCGAGCAGATGATGCTACTATTGAAGACACTAAAAGATATGATTCTAGTAATGATCGTTATCTTTATAAAGGACCACGTGGTGGTTGGTACTATTTAACTTCTAATGGCAGTAAAGTATACATAAAAACCGACTAAATTTCAATATAGATTTTTTTAAAAGCATTTCTTATTTTGATAATTGTTCATTCTTGAAATTTCATATGAATGACTTAGATATATATATATAAAATATTCAAACCAACTAAACATCGGATAACAGAATGCTCACGAGATTATGTCATATTAGCAAGAAATCTCAATTCGTTTATGAACCTACTTTGATAGTCTAATTTCATGATAACAGTGATTCTATTGAGCGTCTCAGATTCAAATCGTAATAGTATTCATATTAGTACTATTTTTTTCTTTTACTTAAACAAACGAATTTCAAATATAAATACTTAGAACAATATTAATAAACTTTTTCTTATCGATAATAATATGAAAAACATTTTCATAATAACTATAACCAACGTATTATTATGAAAAATTCTTTGCTTTTATGATAAACTTTCATCTCATACTTAAAAAAATAAGACATTAACACTAATGAGTTTGAATGAAATTCTTTTTTTATATTTTTCTTTGTTTCGTAAAAATCCTATGTACTCATCATCAAAATAGACACTACGTTTCAGTCAGTAGGACAAGTATTTGTAATCTATAATCACAAAAAAAAACATACGTTAGAACTCAATGAAACATTTGTTTACTACTATGTTTACAAATAAATAATCATCGATATCGATTGGTTTACAACAATATTTTCTAATATATTTCTGTAAGTATATCGACTAAAAAAAATGTATTGAATATTTTAAAGAAAATGAATCTTTTTTTTATTTATCATATAAATACAAATATGCGTAGTTAAAATTTTTGACATAAAAGTCGAAAAACATAATCCAAATACGAACTACAAATAAAACCTATCACTTTTACAGGTATTATCAAAGGAAGAACATTTGATTTGATTATTTTAAGAAATCAAGTATGAATAAAGAAAGAGATAGATATTATTGAATAGCTTTTAAAAATTAAAATAAATCTTTTTTATGAATGTTTATAAAGCACGTTGTTCTTCACCGGGATTTGTAGTTGAATCCAATCGATTACTATGTTTATGAGTACGTGCATTTAATTGAGATACTAAAAGAAAAATGAACATATAGAATGTGTAACATTTTATTTTTGTTTCTTTTCTAATATTTACCATCAGCATCAATAGACAATAGACGATCAGGATTCTCGAATGTATGATGATTATTATCGGTGGGTCCTATAAGAAAAAGTTTAATAGAAATAAAAACAAAACTATTGTATATAATACATACCACCTAGGATGGATTCGACATCTTCTGCTTGTTCAGATGAATCTTTATGAAACAGAAAACAAAATGCAAATATTTTATCACTAAAAAGAAAAAGAAAGAAATTATCAATACCATTCATTAATGTTGTTGTGGCGCCGGATGATGTAAGAATAATAGCTGTTGGTATATTTGATTGTATATTATCTTGAATTGTATGATGATTAGTATTTTCTGAACGTGGTAATACTTGACCTAAAAAATATTTTAGTTTAATTCATCTTTCAAATAAAACTTGCAAAATATTATCAACAAACCTTCCTCATCAGTATCACTGTAGAAATTCTCTTCTTGTTCAGTTTGAACAGTATTATCATATTCCATCATTTGCTCTAAACGAAGACACATCTTATATAAAATCTACCAATTTTTGAAACTGTAAAATAAATTCGAAAATAAATTCTCATGCTGAATCATTGTTGACAAGAAGAGTATTCTTAGAACACAACAGTCAATATTTGCCAACATGTTGATATAATGTTAAATAGCATTCTTTTTTTTTTCCTAAAGGATATAGGATCGATCACTGGCAACATTTAATCTTTTCAACGATTAAATGACTGAAAAAAACGAAAATTATTTTTTTTTTTAAGATATGTTTTCTTCAATTATGAATGCAAGTGGATTTTACCGAATATACTCTTTTGAAAAAATCTCTTCAGATTTAACTTATGCAAATGTACACGGCATAAATTAGATTCAATGACCATGGAAATGTTTTTCAAATTATGTTGCAAATTACCACTGAAATTTCAATAGAGAAACGTATTTTTAAATAGATTCTTATTTCCTATTAGCTGTTTTTTTCCTAAATTGAAACTGACACATCGCTATAATATTATTTATATGTCGAAGGCTTTACTCAAACGATTTACCGTCATCATTATTAATATTTGAATAATTATTATCTGCAGCATCAGCAGAAGTAGTTGAATTGACATCATCTTCAAGATAAAACAATAAGAATATTATCAAATCATATAGATTTAATCTTAAAAAATTTACCCATTAATTCATCTGTTGCTGCTATTCCTGTACTTTCTCTCACAATCGTTTGGTTATTATATTCTAAATGTTTTCAATGCATAAAGTTTCAAAAAGATTATAGAAATTTGTTTATCTACCATGATTTATTGTTAAATTCATATCTTCAGTAGTAACAATCTCATTTAAATTTGTTGCATCTTCATTAAATGCATCATTTTCATCATTGATAATAATATCTATAGAGTTATAGAATATGATTTATGATTTATTCTTAAGAAAATTCTTTCTTTGATACCTTCGTGAAAAGTATTAATACGAATAGGCGCTATCATTGAGTGCGGTTGAGTGTCCTGAATGCCTACGGGTATATTATGCCAGTCCAAATCGAAATCCACTAAGTGAATGATAGATAAATTAGAACATAACCATTTTTACAGGTACTTACAATGAATAGCTGCAAAATTTGGAGGATTGATCGACATATTACTAAAAGTATCCGATGGATCTATGAAAAAAAATTAAAAGGAAGACATTTTTTAATTGAATTCTTATTTCTGAATTTACGTGTAATTCGATCATTGGATTGTTCATCGCGATTCGCAGCAAAAACATCTTAAATACAATATGAGAATTTTCGAATAATAGTATTAAATCTCACAATTATATGGCGAATCTTCTGTACTAGGATGAACTCCTCCCATGAAAATATTAGATTCATCGACAATAATTGATGAATAATGAATATGAGGTTGACGTAATATCAATTCATGTATTCTTTGACCTACATTTAAAAAAAAAGAAACTATTATAAAAATTCTTTCGAACATGAAACATACTTGTCATTGAATCTAAATCATTCGATCTTTCATCAACAACCAATTGAGAACAAGCTGTTCAAATGAAAGAAATGTCTAAAATATTTTATGAAATAATACAAAATATAGTTACCTGTTGGTTGTTGTAATGATATCGAGACATAACCAGAAGAATTTGATTGACTGGTTACTATCGATTCGAAGTTAATTTCTGTATATGATGAAAGATAAAATGTGAAGAATTTCTCCTGTTTTTACTAATGTTTATTATCTGAATTTTTTTACATGAAATGAATACATTATAAATCTAACAAATTACATAATCAAAGAATAGAAAATGATTCTTTAGATTTCTACCTTTTAAAAAATGTAATAGATTGATATTATGTTAATGATGAAAAAATATATATTTGAGAAACTTCGACATCATCACATTCAACGAATGAAAGCATATCAACTTCTACGACACAATATTGTTTTAAAGCAGATTTCTGATTAGAAGACTAGGGATTTAAACATAACAACAAAAAGAAATACAAGAACGTTTTTTTAATGAATTTCTACAGAAGACTAAAAATATTTCTAGGAATTTAACAAATCTTATTCGCAGAATTCATAAATGATAATAGTCTAAGTAATTGATAGTTTGACTAGTGATAGGTTTGCTTAGAATAAATTTGAATAAATCATAAGTATTCTTCAAATAGTCGTAAGAATATTGATATTACTTAATCTTCAATTTCACAATATACGTCTGTTGTTTTTTTTCATAATGATTGCTATCATAATATTGTATGCCGGGCGACAAACGATTATGCCAGAAGCCATTTGATTCTCTTCCTACAGATGTGCCTGTAAAAACTAGATTGAGTGTATTTCAATTAACTCATCAAAAAAAATTATCATGGTATTGTTGATACTGATAGAAAATAGATATTCGAAAAGGTTGCGAAGCAGCCAAGACTAAAGCATTCTAAATACGAATATTCTTTGAATTAAAATTCAATCTTAATTTTTCTTTTCTGCAATACAAAATGTCTGAAGTTTTTCGTTGTTTCCAAATAATGTGTCTTCAGAGGAAAATCTTTTTTCATATTTCAGAAGAAATTTACTTTGCTTCACTTGCGTCTCGTAAAAATGTTATTTTTATGTTAGATATTAGGGTCTAGCAAACTTTCATAGCTATTGTTATTTCTTGGAACCAGAAAATTTCCACTTATCCAGGTGAAAAAGTCTCGTGACTTCAAACTTTGAAAAAAAGATGCAGTCCACCTACTCGCTTAGTTACAAAATTACGTATTTCTCAGTGGCATGAATTGATAGTTTTTTATATTACCAAAAGAAAAGATACTCTAAATTTATCCAATGTTTGAGATACCTCTGTAAAAGCCTAGATCACTCTATACAGAATTGCTTGAGCCACTGAAATCTAGTACATTCATAGTGTGTATATTTCATGTAAAAACAAATTAAATAATAAACATTAGTTGAACAGCAGAAACATGAAGTACAACTTTATCAAAATACTTTTCGATCGCAGCATTCTATACTCACCTTCAGATAAATAATCGATATTATCGACATCATCTTCATCATGATATCCACAATTATTCAGACAATTCTTATTCGACATTCACATGAATAAGTATCAAAAGTTTAAGATGCTTGTTTTAGTCGTACGTTAGTGGAATGCTTAATATTTATTTGATATAAACCCTTTAGTAGGGTTTACTGTTAGTAAAAACAAAACTGCAATCTGTAGTGAAACAATATGAATAAATCATATTTGAATAATAATTAGATAATTTTCAATTATTTTTTCGATTTTATTTGATATTTTCTTTTTCTTTTTCTTTTGACAACATATTCAACTATGTTTGAATCAGCAAAATATGCTGTTATCTTTTTCATTCAAGTTTCTTCAGAATTTATTCATCATAATTTTTCTTTCGCTTTCCGTTCGCTTTATTTCTATTTCGTATTTGATTTACGACGTAAATAACAATCTACAAAAACAGTCATAACGGTAAATCATGCTGCACTTTTTTCTCAGTATTGAGAGCCAATGCAAACATAAAAAGGTGAAGATACCAAAAAAAAATAAAGCAACTTGGAAATTTTATATACGACGTCAAATGCAAAAAAAAACATAAAAAGACGTTGGGCGTGTTTTTGATGGTCGCTGCGAGTTTGCTTCGTAAGTAGATTTGTACAATTTTATACAGGTTCTAACACTTGATTAGTGGAAGGCTATTTCGAAGTAACCCACGAGAGAAATCCTCTACATGATGAATCATTTTGGAGTTGAGACTATGTGCATTATGTAGGCCCAAATGAACTATGAATATTCTGAAAAAAGTTCGTGCCCTTAGCTTATTGTTGTGGAAATATTGTGATTTCACCGTATTTTTTTTAAATAAATGCTACGACTCTCACCTTACGAGCACCAAAAAAACTAGTTTGCAAATTACGACTTGAAACTTTGCATAGGGACAAGCCTTGAACAGAATATCTTTTTGTAAAAGTTTTAGACCTTTTGATTTGCTTCTATCCTATAAAAGGCGATGGTGAACCACCAGTTCATCGTCTATCGATGCACAATACGACGGCTTCGCTATACTGAGGTTACCATGTCTGAGTGGCTACACTGTACGGCATGTATCCATAAAATATCGTGCTCAAACCTTGCTACCACCAACCACGACCTACAGATCGGGTACTCTTCTTTCCTTCCTTCCATCGTACTTAGAGCTGCCGGATAGTGGTGGACTTTATTATATCGCTACTAAGGCCAGCAACGTCGTTGAATATGTGTAAAAAAAACCTACAGTGACGACTACGGATGAACCATTTATCTTAACGTATGAAACTTGACCAATACTTTTTTGGGGTTACGAAATCCAAAACTGAAATTAGTTTTTCGTCATTTTGTACTTTATTTTAGGAAAGAAACGCGTTTTTTTTTACAAAATTTAATCAAAGATGTTCGGGATAGAGGTACTTTGATAGAGAAATGAAGTGCTTAATTGCAAGAAATCGATTACAGATTTGAATTCATCAATTCCAACAATCTTTGATCAAAATTTATAATATACAACTACTTTCAAAACTAGTTGTATTTTAGGATAGGAACAACAACAAGATCTGAAACATTCACAAAAAACTATTCTGGTTAATGCTTGTCTCTATACAAATTTTCAAGTTGTAATTTGAAAAAAAAAAGTTTTTCTTGTGCTCCTCAAGTGAGAGTCACAGCATTTATTTAAAAAGTATCATGAAAGCACAATATCTTTGCAGCAATAAGTTAAGGATCTACATAATATACCTAGTCTTGACTTAAAAATGATTCATCAGGTGGAGGGCTTCACTTGTCAGATTCTCAAAATTTAGTTGGCATGCATTTCAAGTAGAAATTAATAAAGTGATTGAATCTTGACATCTCAAAAAAATATGTAATAAGGAATGACTAATCTAAAATACTAATATCTACTGCGATACTATAAAATTCTATACAAGTTTGATGCCCACTTGTAATATACTTTTTGAATATAACTTTCAAATATAAGTCTAATTATTTAAACACAATCGTACTTATTTTATATCTAGTTTTCGGTATTGAAGATTTGCGCCGTGACTAAATCTATTATAACTAGCCATCAGAAACGTTTTTTTTGTTGACAGGGTCATATCGTATTTTTATATTTTTTCTTCTGTCACAATGCATGTAAACTAAGATGACGTTGATGCGAAAAGATTTCACTGCTAATATAGCAAAGAAAACAATCACTATTGCTATGTATAGACAATTGAATGTATAAATTTATATGACGCACACGTTCTATTAAAATGTGCCGGTTTATTTAACATTAAATTCATTTCTGCTATGATTATTTTTTTCTTGAAACGCAAGAAATATTTCCGTTTTGCTCTTCGCAAGACTATACGTATACGAAAGCAGTGGAACCGTGACATCTCTATATGAAAAACGATAAGATACTGGTTCATGAACAGATGAAAAAAGTTTACATATAAACAGCTAGTCATATTTACTTCAAGAGTTAAAAAAATGATTTCTGTGAAGCGAAAGAAGTTACGTTTTTTATTTGACTTCTTCTCTTTTTGCTCTTGTTTTTCTTTCTAAAAACGCCTTCTCCTCCTTACCTGAAAAAAATACCATGAGAAATGAAATTTTTTTGTTTTTTGCGTTAAGACACAGTATAAGTGTTCTGTATCTTTCGCTGAAAAATAAAATCAACAAAAAACTTTTCGCCGACAAGAGAGTAAGAAATCCGCGAAAAATACAATATATCAGATATCCGCACAGCCGTATACAAATGAATGTGCATTCATTTTAATTGACGCAAAACTAATCAGATAAAAAAAACGATATTAGGAGTAAGGTAGAATGAAATCTAATTGTTTTTTGAAAGTTTACTTTTAGAGTTATTTAATAGTCAATTAGCTAATAGGGTAAAACTAACGAAGTTAGAAAAAAATACGTCAACAAGTTGTAACTTTCGAAAAATATTTCTTAAACATAATTTTACAGTTTTTCAGATCTACAAAGAGAATAGTAATAAAAACATACTTTACATATCCAAATTTTTATTATCCAATTAGATCAATCAATAGAACTCATAATCTAAATGAGCATTGAAGATATACATATCAAGAGTGAGATTGAAGCTATCGTTTGACAAGAAAGTGTACTTGTATGAATAGAAAGACAATACAATATTAACAAACATATCAAACATGTATATGGTTTTCTCGACAGTGAGTCAATCAATGAGTAACTCCTATGTTTCCCAACTCTAATCAATGAAGTGCAAAAGCGAAATTTGATAGACTTTTGTAATGTATATAACCTTCTAGATGATAGCTTGAATGTTACTCTTTAAACATACATCTTCAATGGCTGTCCGCTGATTGCAGGTTGGAAAAAGGAGACCAAAAACTACGAAACATCTTTTAAATTGATCACATGCATTTTCTTGAGTATAACAATTAAAAAAAACAACTAAACTCTACTTACGGTCAGATGCAATCTCTATTTTACGCATAAACATATTGAAGCAAAAATTTCGATATATTTATCTCCCTCTAATCAAAATCAATGGTACATATGTTTTATTTTTATTTAGTCATCATTTAAGAAGGGTAAAAATCCCTTGTATGAAGAATAAACGAAAAGAAAAGGGGTGCTCTATTTATTCTGATACGAGAGTTGCGTAGTTATTGCGTCTCAACAGCATGGCATTATATTTTTTCTTCTTCCTTTTCTAAATTCGTCCTCACACGCCTACGAAAAATGAGGACAAAAATGAAATAGTTTCTGATGACCCCTTAAAGTTATTTTTTATTTTTTTACCATCCTATTATAGTGATGATTGCTTTAGTTTTTTTTAGAAATGATATGAACATAAACATACTGTTTATATGTTACTGTGAAGGTGTATTTTTTTTCGGCCCCTTTATTTATACTCTTGAATATTTTCATTCAAACAAAAAGTGTCATATAACTCTAGTTTTTTATATTTAAAATTGAATTTTCGAGCTGTGTCTATGGCCATCATGTAATTCTATTATATGTGGAATTATATATGAATTTTCAAAATAATTGATAAATATTAAAGTTCGTATGAGAAAAATGTTGTCATCGGCAGCATTTCTATCAATGTCCTTGAACTAGATATGATAAAAGGTAAACAATAGAATTTCTTTGAGAAGTGTTCGATTGCGAAATTCATCATTTTTTTATTTCGTTTGGTTGGAAAAAACCAAGTGATTCGATAAAAAATATTCCTAGTTTGTTAAAATAGATTCATTATTGTTACATAGTATATTCGATATGCAAAAAAAAATTCCTCATAAAGGAAAAAATGATGGAAATATTCTGTTTATTGAATTGTCGAACGTCTGTTTCAATCTAATAAACTAACGAATAAAATAATAATGGTTAACAATTGAACAACTATTTTTTCTTGGATTTTTGTTCTTGCAAATCAAAATTCTTTATGGTTGTATTTGCGTACAAGTCATTTAAATAAATTATAGTCTATGGTTAAGTTAAAGTGACTCATGTGCTTTGAACATTTAATTACTTAGTTTTTATTGTGTTTCAAGTCAGCATAAACGATCATTATCTGCATAGATTGACAATTATATAGACATCGGTTTATGAAGCTATGGTATCTAGAGAGATTGAAAGCTTTATTTTACATTCGTTATTTTGTCTATATTGAAAATTTAACTTTTTTACTACTGAATATTTTTATTTTAATAATAAAAAAATTGACTATATATATATGTTTATGATTTACAATATTAAAAGTTTGATATATTTGTTTCTTGATCATTATCATCGTGAACTTTTATACAAGTTATACAATGGTATCAATTCAAAAGAATACAATATCCAACTAGGAATCACTTTAAAAGTTAAAATAGAAATTGAACAAGAACAAACAAAGAACTACCCATGGGCATACATGGATCAACATATTTGAATTTGAAGGTATTTACAGCCTATATCATGTGGCCACAGTTCAGAACTTCAGCAGCATTCATTTTTGTTTTTTTGTTGAAAATTTATGGTAAAATTACTTTTGAATATGTATGTAAACTCGATCCAATTATAACCTGAAGAGAAAAATCAATACTGGTGAAATTTTGAAGTAGATGGCCAAATAACATAGATTATCGATACTTTGAAATTCGAATATTTTACATCTTATTTTTATTCGTTGAAATCTAAACATAGAAAATATTGGTTTGAATTTATACATTATCAGCTGAATGAATACTGATAAAATTTTTCGTTCTAAAAACTGTGCAATTGAAAATATGGAAGCTTTTACTAATAATTAAAAATGAGAGTATGATGAATTATGAAGCCAATGCATGAGAAAAGTTAATACCCTATACATTATAATAACATTGCACACATTTGATATAATCATTTATTATATGAAGTAATACAACTCAAACATGAGAAAGAACGACCAGATGCTTAATTCATTAATGATAGTTAATAGCATCCGTGAAAAGTATGTTCATATGATGGTGATTTCATCCAAGAGATTGTCATAACATTTTTATGACTTGATGGAAAGAATTCTAATTAGAAATTTTTTTATTTTTGTTTTCAATATCTTTTCTACACAGAAATGTACAAGAACAGAGTCATAGTAAGTTTAATATAAACACGAATTTAGTCAAATATAATGTCATAACAAAAAAAAATCAGCTCTGTATAAAAATTGAATAAATATTGAGAATGAAACTAAATCAATCAGAATTTCACCAGATCGCTTCGATAATTTTGTATATACGACGAAGACCAATCGACGAAAGTATTGATCCTGACAGACATAAAATTACTAAAAGATAACACCAATTACGATGTAATCCATAAACTGACATGCATGCCACAATAAAAAGAACAAGAGCAACAAATAAACACCATCTTTTCATACGTCGACATAATTGTCGATTGCGAATTGTACGCCCAGAGAACGGACGCACTGACCTTTGACCGAGTAATAATAAGATCATTTCGCGACATGCTATTGTATCATAATCATGATCAATACGCTCAAGAAGATAGTCTACAGCATGACAAAGTTTTAAGAAACGTTCATCATCATGACATTCATTTCCACGAGTTTTTTCTTTCAAACAATTAAGATCATGATTAATTTCTTCTAATCGTTGGTTGACTTCTTTTTCTATTGACTCGATTTTCTTCCATATTTCATCGATTGGATTGACTACATCTCTTGAACAATACTCATGAATAAATACATATTTAAAAATAAAAAGCAATACATACTCATCATCATCATCAGCTGTTGATGTTCTTCTTGTCGTTTGTCTTCGGCGCATTTTATCATTTTAATAACAACGTTGAGACATCATTCGTATCATTCAGTCAACACACACTATGAACATGTTTATTTCAATGCTGTTTTTTATTTCTTATTTTTCATTGGTCAATGAACAAATTGACAGAATAGAAGCTATATCGAACAAAACTGCTGTCATCTATTTATATTCTTGTTGAAAGAAAAAAATACGGCATTGTGAAGCAACGCATTTTTTTCTCAAGTTTGCATTTTACCCTGACGTCCATAAAAAGAAAAACGAGAACGAAATTAAAAAAAAACAGTGCCGTTCAAATGAACAATTTATTCTTATTGTTTTCTATATCATGAGTGACATATATAAAAAGTACAAGCAGTTAATATGCTAGATATTTGTTACAGTTGCTCGTTTGCAATTTATGTTTTCAGTATATCAAATAACAAAAATAAAACTGTTTTATGATAACTGAATACTTCTGCATGACATATACGATGTGTTAATCTCATTATTGTTAAAATTCAAAACTCTTGGAAGATGTCAGATATAGTTCAGAAATCGAACTTTTAATTGTTCCACTTGCATTAACAATAATTATATGGCAATATATCAATAGTATTTTATATATAAGATAGTTGATTATAATATCTGTTTATTCAATTGATTTCGATCGATTCCCTTGGATTACGCAACTAAGAACGTATTGTGTAAAAATAGATTATATTCTCAGTTTTTTAGAGCAGTTGCAACAACAGATTCATCAAAAAGTAAGATCTGCAAAGGATGTGAGTATGACACGTGGGTATTGCTTCGACTCATACCCACACCCGTAAATATAACTATTCGTTCACACGATTTCTCGTTCATAGATGTTTCAGCCGCTGCGCATACCATTTTAAAGCCGAGCGAAACTTGAATTGCCATCTCGTTATTCTCATATTCCTTGTTGCAGTATAGAACAAATCAAAAAAATATTTAGTTTTCTACACATAATCTTCTTTTATTGAAACAATTTATAACAACGGAAAATATTCATGAAAATTTTCTGGACGGATGTGAGTGTGGGTATCAGGTGTGTGAGGATATGAACTTCTTTCTAATCACATTCACGGTCTACACCACTAACCCACACCCATACCGATACCCCACACTCATACCCACACCCTTAAATGATGTCGATTAAGATGCAATCACCAAGTCCAAACATAAAAATTTGACAAGTGCTTCAATTTGTAAATGATTTTATGAGTAGTCTCTTTAACATTTAGCAGTGTACTAAGAGTATAATTGAGCATATAATTATGAGAATTAATTGCGAAACCTTGTTGGTAATTTTCTTTTATCTAGATACAAAGAAAAAGCATCTTGAATACCAAAATATTGTTCATGAAAAAAACTTTTGCAGCGATTTTCTTTTGTCATTGCCAATAATTAAGGTCATTATATTCTTCAATTATTTTCTTAATTGAAACGTTATGAACGTACTTTTATCATTCATCATGATGTCATTTCGTTTCAAATAACTGTCAGTTTTCGTTCGAAATCTTAATCTCGAAAATGTTGTAAACGACAATCAAGTCGGCAATGTAAGTCTTATACTTGCTGTTATATTTGCAAAATAAAACACTTGTTATGTTGATTTTACTCAGTTTTTTTGCCAATTTACTTCAGAATTCCATCTGCCAGGATGCTTGAATAGCAATTGGAATAATTACTTTTATCGTGAAAAATCCAATTGATATAAGATTTCTACTACTTTTTTTCGTTTTTCCTAAAATCAGTCATTTCGAAAAAGAAGGATAAAATTTTCAATTATACATCATCAACACCACTTGCACTGAGAATGACGTTTCTACCTTGAAAGTTTTTCTTCGTTTTCATTGTTAAATATGAAAGACTCTGTAATAAAAACATGAATTAATAATTTCATTATTTGTCTTTCTGTTTCTTATTTGTCTTCCACGGCTAATCTATGATAAGACCTAAATATCAGAAATGTCCATCGCGGCGCGGCAGCGACAGGTTTTTTAAAAAATCACTGCGGCAGCAGCGCGGTAGCGGCAGATTTTTTTAAAAGTCATCGCGGCAGCGGCGCGGTAGCGGCAGGTTTTTTAAAAAACCATCACGGCAGCGGCAGGAGTTTTTTGGAGGACATTGAAAAACTGTATGAATTTAATAGAATTTCAGGATTTACAAATGAAACGCCCTGATATTGAATAAATCTGATGGATTAGTACCCATATCTCTGGTCAAATATAGTCACAGCAGTGAAATTAGAAACACTTTTTTGAAAACCGTCGCGGCAGCGGCGCGGTGGCGGCACGTTTATTTTATAATTCATCGCGGCAGCGTTTCTTTTATAAGTCATCGCGATGCGGCAGCGTCGCGGCAACATTTTTTTATAAACCGTCGCGGCGCGGCAGCGGTGCGGCAGCTTTTTTTTTCTAAGGCCGCTGCGCGGCAGCGGCAGATTTTCAGCCGCGATGGACATCTCTGCTAAATATTGAGCAAATTTTTACACGTTTCTTGTACAAAGTCATCTGGGATAATATTTATTTTCTTTAATCTCAACGTATTTGTGATAGTTCTCCTTTAACGACTAGCTTTACGTGTTCTTTGATATTCCAATACATTTTGTCACTTTTTCATTTGTCGATAACGTTAAACATCATCTTATAAGCTGTTTCTTCGATCGTTGTAGATTAGACATATATTATTTTCTTATTCTATTTTTAAAATGAAAACAGACATCAATTGGAACGTGCGAAAAGTGAAGATCAGTTACAGCCTTTCTTAGGTTAGTACTTTCGATAGAATTGTACTATTAATTTATAAAATTCATAGCTAAAATATTGTTCGATATGTATAAAGAAAAAAAACGGTAAGAATGACGTATCGTCATATTCAAATCTTTCTGAATTAACGAACATTGATTATGGAAATACTTATTAAATAAGCATGTTTTTCATTCGAATAGAGGAGATCATATTCTTCTCCTGTAGTATATCGCACGTAAACGACCTTTTTCTTCTAATATTTAAGTATAGAATGTACACAAGGTTTATAGTAAACATATGAAGACCTCTAGTAAAAAAAAGGAATATCGATACATCGTAATCATTTTTGAAATTTACAATTGGCAAACTTCACTAAACTAATATTGAAATATAGTTGGTTTTACTGTCGTATCTAGTGTGCAAATTTTGGATATACTATAACATCTTGCTGATCTAGCAAATTTTGATATATTGGATACATGATATTATGGTACTATCAATCGTCCCTTTTTTTTACAGTTCACATGGGTGTTTGCATGTGTAGGGGTATTCTTTTTTCTTACTATATTTTCTTTCCTTTCTGCTTGCTACGCATTACGTTTTTTCTCTCGTCTGTCTTCTCTTTTTATTTCGTATTCAACTACTTTCACGATAGAACAACAACAACATTTCTTCATGTCTTTTTAGGGTATTCTCTGCTTTATATTATTTACAATCTCGATTCTCTATTACACTGCAGAGATGAAATGTGTTAACGAACAACCCACTGTTCGACTCATGAATGCTGTTCATGGAGAAGTACTTATGCCTGCAGTAGGATAAGGCACGGGAGGTTATGGTCAACCTGATGGTTCAGGTGGTGAATACTGGGGACCTGAACAAGGCCATAATGCTACTGTAGCATGGTTAAAAATGGGTGGTCGACGTATCGATACTTTGGACGATTATGCCTCACGGGATGGGTAACTAGTGGTGTACCTCGTTCTGAAATGTTCATTACACCGAAAGTAAATCCTTCTGGTTATGATCAAGCATTGGAAGAGTTCGCTGGTATTCTCGAATCCTTACAGACCGAATACATCGATCTTCTGCTTATTCATTGGACAGGTGAAATACCGAGTACGTCTAATGAAATAAGTCTTCCTTGTAAACAAGGACAATCAACGGGGACTGAATACCGCATTCAAACATGGCGAGCATTAGAAACAATATTTCAACAGAAATAAGTATGATTTTTTTCTTCATTTTTCTAGATCCTTAGATCGATTTTATTTTCTAGGTTCGTGCCATTGTTGTAAGCAATTATGAAGTAAACCATTTAGTAGAAATTTTCAACTTAAATTCTACTATTCCCAGTGTCAATCAAGTATACTGACATTATAAAATGTTCCCTTCAATGGCATTTGTTTTTTCTTAATTCTAGGTCGAATTTCATCCTTAGTGGCACGAAGATGAACTTCTTGATTTTTGTTAAAAAACACAACATTACATTCAATAGTTATTCACCAGTTGGTTGTCCTGATCATGCTGTAACACTCGGTTCTACATGGAATCCTATTCCAGATCTACGTAAACATCCCAGTCTTATTACAATTGCAGAAAAGTATAGCAAAACGCCTGCTCAGATAGTACTTCGTTGGCATTGGCAACAAGGGATTGTGATTAATCCATGTACTCGTGATTCTACTCATATGATGGAAAATATGTTCATATTTGATTTTGTACTCGATAATCAAGATATGATGACTCTTTCTTATTTGAATCATCCAATGAGCAAGGTGTGTGATGATCCAAGACTAATTTTATAATACTTAGATGAAAAGTTATTCATGTATGTCATGTCAAACTACATTTCTCTTGGCATGTCTGCTTTCATAGAAAAAGACTAAAAGTTCTCATAAAACAGAACATCAGATAGATTGAATATAATATTTATTACAAACATACAAAAATATAACTTGATAAGATCAACGAAAAGATGTTTCATCATCGACATACAGATACACTGTTGAGTTTTTTTTAATATCACCTTCATTTGTCACTATGGCAAGTTTCGAATCTTAGTTTGAACATTCCTTCATGTGTTACTTGTAAATAAAGTGCTTCAAAATATGTTTTAACTATTGATCAACATCGTAGAATCTCACAATTATGTTTTACAAATTATATATTCATTTAGTTTTTCTGTTTTTTTTTCTTCGAACGAGATTTATCTTCATGTATCAAAGGATGAATATACATGAAAATATATCTCTTCATGCACCATTATCTATTGAATTCAAAGAATCTTTTTGATCATTTAAAACACATTTATTTACCATCTTTCTCTGTTCACTCTGCTTATCGATTACAGTTGACTTCATTTTTCAGCCCTGAAAATTTACGAATGTTTAATCCTTGATATATCAGATAGACTTAATTCGAATAGAATGTACAATCAATAAACGTTAGATTATCACAATAAAACTATGTAGATTTTGGCAATTGAGTAGGTTGTATATACATACACAAAATGTTGCAACTCTTAAATATGTTGTAAGATTTAAATATTTATTCTGCTTTTTCGAAAGGTAAAAGAAATTTAGAAGACTTAGTTTCTTTAGATTTGTACATAATGTTTAGATATTTCACTCGAACATCAATGTTTTTTTTCTCATAAAGTTTCATCATTACTCTTCAAATTAATATAGATCGATGAACAAAATACAAGAGTAATGCTTTATGATTCGATTATATCTTGTTCGTGTTTTATTAGTGAATTAACTTTATGCATGATCCATTCCTCTTGTAAATTTCTTTTTTCATCGATATTTATTTTGACTTATTTGCTTTGATAAATAAATAAATGAAAACAAAGAAAAAATTTTGGTATACATAGAATGCTTAACAATCACTACATCATTCGATTTATTTTTCAACAATAAATATGAGATGATTGATTCATTTTTTTTGCAAATATAAGATTTGTTTTGTTTCTGGAAACCAATTATTTTAATTTAATGATTTTCAAAACAACAGAAATTATTATTATTATTATTCAAATATAGAAACATATATTCTCAAGAGATGATTGTATTTAAATTTAAAAAAAAACCAAAGCAGACGATAGACACACATATACTAATCGAGATTTAATCATCATCTTCATTTTCAGCTTCTTCTTCATGTTCTTCTTCTCCTTCTTCATCATGTTCTTCAGCAACACGAGCTTTAGCTTCATCTTCTGGTGATGGATCATCAATTTCCATAATTTCTGGTAAATCAGTATATTCATTGGTTGGTAATACTGGAAATTCAGCTTTATAATTTGTTGCTGTATATTTATGCCCATAACCAATATAGATATTTTCCCAAATCATTCCGCGTGCAAATGTATATGCACCGGGCCAAAGATTTGATCGAACAAAAGCACAAGCATATTGTGGAATAAGATTTGAAGATATTTTAGTTGTCCATGCTTTTGTATGTTGAATTTCAGCATCAGCACCAACTGGTGTTAAAAGTTCTGGTCCATGTTCAGGTTGTACACCATGTGTTTCAGCTTTTATTTCTTCTTCTTCATCAGCTTCTTCTTCTTCTTTTTCAAGATTTTCATTTGGATTCCACCATTTAGTTCGACCTTGAGGAAGAATATGTAAAACATGATGAACCTATTTCAAAAACGAATGGAATAATTTATAAAAAAACAAAAAAAATAGGTCAGAATTTTTTTCTTTTACCCATCCATTCAGTTCATCATCAATTAATTCTGATAATGGTGCTCCGGTAAATTCTTCATTTTCTTGATAATTTTGTTTTCCACCATCTTCTTCTGCTTCTTCTTCTTCCTAAAAAAAAAAAAAAATTTTTAAAAATATCTTTCAAAAAACAAAATTCAATTCAATTTTTTATAATTACTTCAGAAAATTTAAATTTTCCATGAGGTGATACATGTGTTGTTGCACTAATTCTTGCAATTTGTGCACGTAAATAATTTTTTTCTATACCTGGATATGTTGGATATGATTTTATTTCTCGATTTAAATCTCCCGTAAAAAAAACTTTGATTAATCGTGCCTGAGTTATTTGTGCTGGTGTTACCATAGGTAATTTAATCCATTCTGCTCCAGCTAAGAAAAATCAAATATAAAAATCTTATTTCTATTTTATTTTTTTTTTTTAATAAAAGAAGAAAACTTACGACGATTACACACATAATAAGTGTATTTATTAACACCTGTACCACGATCTTCTTTTGGTACAGGTAGTGGTGGTTTATAAGTTGATTTAGGTAAAGGATCTTCTTCACCTTCAGCTTCTTCATCATCAACATCTTTAGCATCATCATTTTCATTAGATTCTTCATTTCCTTCATCATCATCAGCTTCATCTTCAGCATTTTGTTCAACTTCAGCTATATAATAATTTTTTTCTGTACCAAGTATTTTACCCCAAAAACGTACTTTTTCATATTGACCTTTATCAACTAATTGTTTAATTGCAAGCCAAATTCTAAAATTAAAAATAAAAATAAATTTATTGAAGACTTCACCTCTCATTCGTCAAAAATCGCTCTTGAACTCGATACATTCATACTACATGTAACTTTTAGTTCTATACCATAATTTCTTACTTTTTAAGTAGAGAAAAGTTAAATGTCTCAAAAAATGAAAATCTAATGATAAAGGTATTCGTTTATAAAATAGTAACAAGCCCTAAGTCAAAGAAAAAGGGACTCTGTCATGTCATTGCATCTTCCTATATATTTATCTAAATTTTTATGTTTTTGATGAAAATGAATTTCTTTATGAGCTGGATTCAATAATATTTTTACCGATATGTTTCATCTCGTCCAAGACCAATACCAGCTTGTTCAAAATAATAAGCTTGTTCAAGAATATGAGGCAATGGTGTTTGTAATGCTTCATCATCAAGTTCTTCTGTATTATCCGATTTCTATATAAATAATTAAAAACAAAAAAAATGTCAAAAAAAGTAAATAATAATTTAAACGATTTACTTCAAAAAGTGGTTTTTGTTCTTCAGCTAATGCATTTTCAGTATTTTCAGTAGGTTGTTCTTGTATTTTTTCTTGCTGAGATCGAGCTGATTTACTAATATCTTCAAATATAGTAACAGCATTACCTGTATAATAGAACATTTATTATTTTCATTAAATAAATATGTTTGTGTTTTTCTTTTCATCTTACGAGGCTGTTCTGTTAATAATCGAGAAACACATTTTACCAAATGTTCATATCTAATAAAGAAACAAGAAAAAAAAAACAATAAATATAAGAATTTCAACTGTATATTTACAAATTAACACCATCTTTTCCTGTTGTTGATAATATATAAGATTTAGCATCGTTAAATTGTTTGTCCGTATCTCCACTTTCAGGAGTTTTTATATTTTGTCTTTGATCTATATAGATATATCTTGTAGTTTTACAAAATTTAATTTTTATAAAATCAAACCTCCATTATGATTTTGATAATGAGTAGCACTCATTTTTCGAGTAATAATATCAAGAATGTTTGTAGATTTTTTTCTTTTTTTGTTTTACTGTCTTTTACATCTTACGTTGCTAACCAACCGACCTCCTCTCGTTTGAAATTCTTCTTTCTTTTATTCTATTTTCTAATGATGTCGCTCGATGAATGACAGTTTCATTGTAACAGATGAATTACAATAAATAACTTCGTTTTGTACTTAATCTTTATTTTGTAAATGGGCATTTAACTATATTCTGAACATGTTAAACATCTCAAAATTGATCAACACAAAAAACTGTGTAACAACGTTATAATAGTTTAGAGAAAATCTTTTTTACCGGTTAAAAATTCAGTCGAAGTTCTGGAAGAATTTCATTTGAAGAAATACTTTCTCAAGAAATTAGAGTTTTATCAACAACACTGGAGAAAAAAGTCTTTTTTTTTGTCTAACAGCATTATGCAATGATAAAACCTTTCCCTACAAGCCCGAGCTTTTACATACAAAAAAAGATCATTCTTATAGCATAACTAAAATGTGAGAATAACGACAAATTTCTTTCCCATCTTTAATTATTCGTATAACCGATTTTTTGTAGATCTGCAGATTTCATTACTTTCTTTTTTTGTATTAATTGACACATTTATATAAACTTCATTTATTATTATGAAATTTGTATGTTCTTCTAACAAATACTATCAAAATAAGAACAATTTGTCGTGTACGAAAAAAAAAAAAGAAGCTATTAATTGTAGTTTTTCATGTTGCATTTTCTAATATATTTTATTTTGTTATAAAACGTATTAGATTATAAAGAAATTAAAATACAAAATGCTATCATTGATTTTGACCCGCCCATTACTTTGAGAATGTTCGTTACAACTTGTAATGATAAAATATATACATACAGATGTTGAATGACAATCACTCACTTTTACTCTCTCATACAATTAGTCGATAGTGGTGTGAAACAATTTGTAAATTGAGATGTATGTATGTCTCTTTTTCTTTCTTCTCATAGCTTTAAGGATCAAACGATGGTCACCTGCTAGACATAAACTACCACCATCGTTGATAATGAATAAGCGGCAAAATCGACACGGTTGGTAATTGAGAAATGATATGGTCATTTGACAATAATAACCAATTCAAATGTTTGATCGTTAAACAACATAGAAAAAAAAAAAAACTTATCAAGGATGGTTGATTTGTCCCTCCTATGCTAAATCACCATTGTTATTATTTCTTTTCACCTTACTCGAATGCAAAGGATTATAACACGCATACATGCAAGCAACTATGATCTCAAATGATAATAATACTTGTGTAAGCAACAATGAATTTTTTCTTTCTTTCTTTCTTTCTTTCTTTTTTTTTTAATAATAAAGTCAAATTTCATCTATGTGACAAAAATTAAATCCTATCAATAGGTTATTAAAGTCTTAAAATTAAATTTCATTTTTATATTTACATTCAATGACAATATGTATACATGTTCGTCTATCTTTCTATTCATCCAAATGATAATTTATAAATAAAGAAAATAAACAAAACAACTATTTATTTTATACTAACATGCATATATTATCATATAAAATATAGTATTAAATTTCACTTACAGACAAAATTTTTGTTCTATTTAAATATTGTTTCATTAAAAAAAAAAGAAAACAAATTGATATGATGTAAGATCAAATCTTGTGAAAATATATACTGTTGAACTTGTTCATCTATGTACAGAGATTAGTGATGAATAAATGACATTAATTTTCAATATACATACATACATATATCAAGAAAGAGGAAAGCAGATCTCTTACTTGATTTATTTCACACGTATCGATTTTTTTTTTTTTTTTTTATTCCACTAATAAAGTCATAGACGCGCATATAATATTGATCAAATATGATCAACATAGTTCGCTTTGTCATTCAAATAATGTTTCGTTTTCTTTTTCATTGCCCTTCTTACATTATTTGTTAGTGCTTGTTATCGATTGAATGGAACTAGTAATATTAGTTTGAATAGTAATTTTCTTCGTCAGCAAATAGACTCTATATAAATGTCGTGTATACAATTATTACTATTTGTCAATTGACGATTTATATAGACTAAAAAAAAAAAAAAAAGAAGTAAAAGGTACCTCCATCATTATATGAGAGAATGAATGAGCTTAGCACAAGGATCTTGAAGACGATATTTACATATCGATTGACGAGGTCGTGATCCTATTGTCTCACATATCATTAGGAGAATTTGTAATGACCAATTAGATACATAAAAATACAAGTGATGTTCATACATGTTCTTATAAGAAACATGTTTAATTTGATATTGAAAATCTGTTATCTTTTCTTTTCTTTTTTTTTCACATCAAATTATTAAGAATAAACTAAACGTTTCAATGTTATGAGATAACATAGGTGATTCCTTTTTTTTTTCTAGCGTTATTGAACAGAAGAGAGAGAGAGAGACAGAGACAGAGAGAAAAGAAATATGTATATCAAACAACATCCAATGAATTGATTTTGTCTTTATATTTATTCAATGAATGGTTCGACTTTTTGTCTTTCTCTCTTTTGAAAAAAAAAATGACCTATCCATTTTAGACGATGAACGAACATCGACAAATGAATACAACATCAAGTAAATAAAAAACAAAAAACATATTAATGTCAATTAATAAAAGAATTCTTTTCTTTCTTATTCAGGTCGAATATTAACTGATGTTCCATGTAAAGTTTGTAATGATAATTCATCTGGTAAACATTATGGAATATTTGCATGTGATGGGTAAAAAAAAAAAAATTTTTTTTTTTTTTTTTTTTAATAAAATTCTTTTATTTTTCTAAGTTGTGCGGGATTTTTTAAACGATCTATACGACGTAATCGTCAATATACATGTAAAAATCATGGTTTAGGAAATTGTCCTGTTGATAAAACTCATCGAAATCAATGTCGAAGTTGTCGTTTAAGACGTTGTTTAGAAGCTGGAATGAATAAAGAAGGTAAATCTTTTCAAATGAAATATTCTTTATAATATTTTTGTTTTTCTAGCTGTTCAACATGAACGTGGACCAAGAAATTCAACAATAAAAAAACAAATGGCTTTATTAATGAAAGAATCTAATGATTTTATTAATGCATATCATTTTCATCGTTATCAATCAATGTCATTTCATCATCAATCAATACCAAAAGTAAATAAAATTTAATTAATAAAAAAAAAAAAAAAAAAAAATTTTTGTAATTTAGTATCCAATTATTGATCATTATGAATTAGCAGCAAAAATTTTATTTAATGCTATTAATTGGACTAAAACAGTACCAGCATTTATATCATTATCCAATCGTGATCAAGTATGTTTAATCAAGTTGAAAGTTTTTATTTTTATTTTTTTTCTCGTTTCTTATTAAGCTTTGCTTACTTGAAGAAAGTTGGCGTGATTTATTTATTTTAACTGCTGTTGAACAACAATTTACAATTAATGTTAATGAATTTCTTTATTTAAATAATCAATATGAAATATTTAAAAATGATATTGAAAATTTTCAAGATATTTTAAATAAATTAAAACATATGAAAATTGATACAAATGAATTAATTTGTTTAAAAAATTTTGTTTTATTTAAAACATATTTAAATAATTGTCAAACAATAATTAATCCACAATTAAATGATATACATACAATTAATTATTTACATAATCAAGCACAATTATTATTAAATACATATATTAATAAACAATATCCATGTGAAGAAAATCGTTATTTTAAATTAATAACATTAATATCATCGTTTCGTTTAATATCATCATCAATAATAGAAGAAATTTTTTTTCGAAAAACTATTGGAGATAAAACTCATATGGAACAACTTGTTAAAGACATGTTTAAAATGGTTATTAATTCATAAAATGGATTGTTTTTTTTTTCCACCGGTTTAGAATTATGGGTCTTTTTTTTTAATACAGTGTTATTTACGGGCCATTTTCATTTCTTTCTTTTTTTCTTTTTGTTGTTTGGGTACTTTCTTTTGTGTATGATATCACGAGAAGAAATCAAATACATTTATTCTTTTCAATCTGTCAAGAGAAATAAATTTAAATGTCAAATTTAATTAAGATAATAAGCATGTAGTTTAACTCTTTACTTTTTGACATGAATTCAATAGAGTTGGTATTGAGTAAATCATGAGAATTGATTATGTAAGTGGTAATTATAATACTGCGGACAAGCAGAATTGGTTAAATATAAAAAATGAATTTATTGTTAATCTGAATTTTTATACGGTATTTTCACAGTGTTATTGGTGTTTTATTTGTAGAAAGTTGAAAACTTATATACCATGAATTAATTTTTTTTTTGAAAAAAGAAGTCATTTGACAGAAGGACATAGAATTATACATTTCATTTTTAGGATCGTGCTGAAACCGTTATTCTTCATTCTCTGTTATAATATTCAGAAATATTCTGAGATCGTCACTACCCAGGACGAACAATCCGACAGTCGGTTTCCGTCGGATTCTATCGGAAAAATTATCGGATTTCATCGGATCCGATGGGAATTTGTCGGAAGTGGTCGGAATCTTTGGTATCGGATTCCGACAGGAAGTTGTCGGATGTCGGAAAGTGTCGGATTTTCAGGGTTCTGACAGGATCCTGGCCATTCTGACACTTTTCGACATCCGACAACTTCCTGTCGGAATCCGATACCAAGGATTCCGACAACTTCCGACGAATTCCCATCGGATCCGATGAGGTGAGTTCGACCTGGGTAGTGTAAGGTCCTTTGGCAGATTTTTTTTTAAATGCTCCAATTCGGATCTGATATACTGTAGTAGTCTGACGAGGGAACATTCCAAAGTGATTCACTCTGCTTTGATTCGTTCATATCTCATTCGATAGAGTATATTGAGATAAGAAATAGCCTAAAAGGATTTGTGCCCATGGCCTACTATTGAGGAGTTACGGCCGTTTTACTGAAATTTTTACTGTGAACCAGGCATTACGGAAA